GTAACACAGTCTTTGCTCTTTTCTGCAGACCCCAGCATGAACTTTACCACATGTAGCGCATTGAGAAACAGGTTTAAAATTTCCAGGCTTAGAATTTCCCGCCTTTTTAAACTTATCATCAGACTGTCTAACCTGCAACCCTTTTCCTTTAGAATTCCCAGAAGTGTTTTTAGGACCAGAATTAGGAGCAGATTGGTCCTTATTCTTTCTTCTATAGTACTCTTGAATGTTTTTACACTTTTTAACGAGTGCAGCAAAAGTATCAAAAGTGTGTCCTGCAAGTTTTTCAAAAATGTTACATGTAGTCCTCCATGAAATTTAAACACCAAACCATCTTCAGTAGGTGGAGCTCTCTGGAAATGAGAGTATTTGGCCAGCTTATTAAACTTATTCAGATATTCATCAATAGACATCTGGCCCTGCTTTAGTTCCTCAAATTCACCCTTCTTCCTTATCCGGGCCTCTGCCGGAAAATATTTCAGCAAGAATTGCCTTTCAAACAAAGGCCAGGTAATAGCATAACCCTGACATTCCAAGGGCTGACGGGTATTTCTCCATCAATCGGCTGCATCATTCTGCAGCATATAAGAAGCATACAACAATCTCTGCTGATCATCACACTCCATGATAGTAAAAATGCGATCCAACTCCTCTAACCACTGAATTGCGGCAATCAGATCAATTCCTCCTTTGTAATTTGGTGGTGCATGTTTTCGGAAGGCATTAAGCATTCTTTCTCTTTGCTCTCTATTAGTGGCTGGCTATGCCACACCACCCATGTGACTAGATTCTTCATTCAAATCATTATTTCCTTCACCCTTCATAACAATGGGATTATGAGGAGGAGGAACAGGCTGTTGTGGTTGTGGCTTAGGCTGTGGCTTTTGCAAAGGCTGTGGCTGTGGACCTTGCCCACCAGCCCTCACCTCAACCAAGAGTAATCTCATCATTTCAATATTCGCCATTCTGCTTGCTGCCATCATTTCTTGATTGGCCAACCTATTAGCCTCTAACAGGTCTTGATTTGCTTTCATCATCACTTCTAGCTCTCGCTGCCTAGCTGCAGCCATATTTTGTTGCAACTCAGTTAAAGCCGTTATCATTGGATCTGGTTGTGAAGTATTTCCCCGCTGATTTATTCGGGGTCTAGCCAAATCTGCTAATATTGGATCGGTCGGGTCAATAGGAGGATCAGAAGTCCTTCTTGGGCGAACCATAATTCTGCATAATTCACACAAAGGAATGAGTTAGCTACGCTCACACTCGATGATCAGACATGCATTTCATAGTACTCCAAGAAAAACTCAAGAATATAACAACCCGAACAGTTCATGCAATATTTCACAGGCTCTCCTAGAGAAACTGCTCTGATACCATAAATGTAACATCCCCGTCTCGAGCCGGTTCAATTAACATACACATGATATAAACAGAAACAGCGGAAGACTTAACTTACGAAAATATGAGCTAACTTTTTCTTTTTCTAACTTAATTCTTACTTGGCGTAAACGAAAATCGGGCAGAGTTTCCTCTATAAATCGGACAACTGGGGATTTTCCAATCCCACTCAGAAGCGTTTCCTGATAAACAGTTTATACAGCATATTAATCCAGAAGTACCAATCATGCAAATATAATCAGATATCCATCCATGGGCGCATGCAAAATATGGCTTCGTGCCACTATCCTAATCAGCATGCAATCCAATAAGAAATCATAAACTGAATAATACATCATCATATAACGTGCCTGAATATCCAAATGTACATGCATCAAAGTGACAGACATGTACAAAACATATACAGGCCATATACAAAATAAAGGATCAATATCATGATCCATCAAATGCGGAAATACTAAAAGACATCAAACACTCCAAAAAGGTAGTAGCCTACAGCCACTCAAAATCCGATCTGTCAACTGCCTCAGCCACGTGTCGTGTCCCTGCCTAGTGAGGACTCACCGGGAATCTGGGCACCTGAGAATATGTCCCCAACGAGGGGTGAGATTACAAATCTCCATAAGCTCCAAGTTTATAGAGAATTCTCCATACCCCTGGCTCACTCCTGCACGAAAGTCAGATACAGAGTATACAAATACAACATATAGCAGATATCATAACAGAACAGAGCATATATCCATATCATATCAGAGGCGTGCGCCGTCATTCCCAAGGGAGGACCCCAAGCGGAAATCAACGCACGTGTTCCCGAGGGAGGACCCCAAAGCGGAACCAGACATAACAGAGGCGTACACCATCAGTCCCGAGGGAGGACCCCAAAGCGGACGTCCGGGTACTATACAATCAATGGCCAGAGATTGTTACAGAAATCATATTACAGAAGTCATATCATAGCAAAACATATCATGTTATCAAATAACTCTATATGAATGCATCTATACAAAGCATCTAAATCACAGTCATACAGTCCAACCATAGTTCACTAACCATGGTGGAGCACTCAAGCAGGAAAAGACTCCTTAAACATAGAGCTTACCTCTTGAAGCTTTACCAATACCCTTACTTGTTGCACAAGTTACTTATATATCTTCAAGAGATTCTGATTCCTTTTTAGTCCCTAGGTACACCTAGAGCAAGAATCCACAAATACCAATTAATAAAATGCCATCATGCCTAGCTTTCACATAAGGCACGCATTTTATCGCTTCTTTTCATTTCTTTGCAATTTTGCCAATCCTATGCCAATACACAAGTCTAGACCTCTTTATAATCGTTGGTGTTCTTTAATTTGATCAAGTATTCCCTTACGAATTTCCAACATAAATCATGGCATTTTACTTTAAAGGACCGTGGGCCTAAAATTAGGAAATCAATATATTTTTTCATGATTCTTTTCAAACCATTTCACTTCATGACTTATCATTTTCATACTTTGAAACACACATATTTTATTAAAATAAAATATGACAACATCTTTCCCTAAACACCCTGTATGTCGAATCCTTTAAGGGAATTTTCAAGGGTCCTTCTCTTTTATAATACATTTTCCTCACTTAATTTTAACAACTACACATACATAAATATATATATATATATATATATATATATATATATATACCAAGTTCCAATTTAACTTTTTTGGGAATCTCAAGCTCTTTAAATCCTTCAAGGCCGAAACATCAAGGGTATGTTTCAAAGGATTTTCTTTCAAATTTAACATTCTTACTAACTCATCAAATTTCCTCTTATTCAAGCACATTAAACCTTCCTAATACATACAATAAATCTTTGTGCATCACCCCTAATTACCCTATCAAGGCCGAAATCTAGGGTATGTCACCATGGGATTTTTTTCCAATTTTTTTATACATGTTCATATGCTTATTCCACATTCCTATATCCAACACATCATCAATTCATCATCAATTCAAATTTTAAACTAAATTATTTCACACTAACACATGCTCACAATTTTTATGACACAAACCATCAAAATAACATCATGGAAACAAAGGTTTCTTACCACTAATCAACTTCCCAAAGCCTAGAAAGCAACCTACAAGCCAAGCTCCATCAAAAACTCACTTTTTCTCCTCCAATGAATAGTAACTCGAAAATGAGAGGAGGAATAACTCTTCACACACTCAACTATAGCTCAAATGGATAGGTGGAATGGATTCATTGAGTGGTTTCCAATCAATTTCATGTGGTGGGTCATTGGATTTGGTGGCATATTCAAGAAGAAATCAAAAAAAGAAATAAAGCCCTAAACCCCCCCTTCCATGATGAACTCCACGGCTTGCAAGAGAGAGAAAGGAGTTTTAGTTGTGTGAATAGTGATTCACTTGAATGACAAAGCTTTATAGCCACATGTGACTTTTTAACAGATGTTTTTCTTTCGCGTATTTTCACTTAAACTGACCCAAAACTAACTCAATGCTACAAACATATTTTTATTTTTCTAAAATCATTTACATTACTTTTTAATTCTTACAAAACAATATTCATAATTCACAGTATGATTTTTGCACCGTTTTTGACGAAATGCACTGTGAATCACTAATTGTACTTCATTTACTTATGAAACTTAAACTTATAAACTTATCATTTTCTTGGGCCTATATTGACTTGCTTGGCATATATTGGACTTTCTTATTCTTATTTCATCAATTATTTGTTTCTGGGCTCTACCAGTTGCTTAAACAACAGTATAAAATACCCGGTAGAAATATTATTCACGAGATTTTCACGGAAAGTGCCAGACTATACAATTTTTCGTTCTGAACTCATATTTGTCGTCAGAATTATCAAATTATGTCTCTAAAATTATTTTTCTCTTTTAAGCTCTACCGGTTAATTAACAAAACTGTAAATTCTCCGGCATAACGCACTGTTCATAACCTAGTCATGATTACAGTCAAAATCCTCGGAATCACTCACTGAATCTAATTATGGCATTTAAATCCTTAAATTAAATCTCTAATTAAGATTTACCATTTAGGGTCATTATACCAAGATTCATTCTTTTCTGATGTGACAGATCAGTCTAAGCTGCAGTCACAGAGCATACTAAGAAAAACCCGAAAAAGAAATAGCAACGGGAATCCCTCAAGGAGGGTGATATCTCTCTATAACTATATTGAAATTGTGGAAAATAGAACTAAGTTAAACGAATTAAGATTCCTCTTGTTAGGCTCTAGATACCATGTTAAATATCATAGATACAAGAGAAATGATAGTAATCCTTGTTGTATTAAACTACACAATATTGGTGCTATTATATAGCAAACCAATTGAAGAATACAAAGAGACACACTCAATGTGGGACTTCTACACTATTAACACTAATACTCTTAACAAATACCAATAGAGAAGTTATTTCAAACTTGTGCTCCAAGCAATCATATTATTTATAATGACATGGAAAAGATTTTCAGATTTACAGAGCCTCATAAGAGAAAAAAAAAACATTGCAAATCATAAAATAAGGGAATCCTATATGATGAAAAAGGCATCCCCAACAAAAAATTGTTGAAACCTCAATTCCGGTTCAAGCATAAACATTCTCTCATTCTCTTTGTAAGTATTGTGAAGATATTTTTATTTGACATCAGTGATGGCTCCCTTTTCACTTTAGGTGATGGTTCTATTTCCATCCGAATTGATTGCTCAATTTTCACAATTGACTGGCCATATATTAGATATACAGCTGTCTTCTTAACAATCACTCCATGCCTAAAAGCTACAAAAATCTCCACATTGTCACCTGCTCCTAGATTTGATTTTACACCCTGCCAATCTTCATCATTAAAGGACATTGCTGTGTCTCGCTTGTATACATGGATAGTGCACTTTGTGTAATTAATGATCAAGACGCTAATAAGACATTCAACACCCTTGTTTTCAGTGGTTGATGAATATATAACACATAAAATCATTCCCTTTATGGGACGATCACTATCCTCAGGCACTTGAAAAAACACTGAATGTCCTTCAGCTGTATAGGCTAACCAATTTGGACAATTATCACCCGGAAGGAAGTAATCACTAGAACCATTGTTTGTCAATCCCTGTATCATGAACCAAAAGCTTAGTTATATATGTATTTATATTATTCAAATGGACTTTTTGTGACATTATGGTGTCATTCCGAATTCCTGAAGGTAAATGTTTAAGATAATAACAATGTACTGCGTAAAGAAAGATAAAGACAAGGAAACTAGAAAAAATTCAGTTAATAGTTTTCTAACGCAGCCATTTGCTTTATCATATAGATACTTGAAAATGAAAAATTATTCCTTGTTCTCTTAATAAATAATAAAGATCAGTAAAGGTAAGAAGATAGAGATGGAACCTGTGATATGCTCTTGCCAAGGGTATCCATGACCATATGGCAACTTCCCATTCCAATTAAAAGCGATCTCAATGAAAGATTTGAAATTTGGGATGCATATGATGTTGTTTCCATTTCAGGAAAATTTACATCACATAGGTCATCTAGAATTCTTCGCAATCCTTGAGTTAATTGAAACTCCGAGATGCAATTCACACAAACACATCGAAGTTTTGAAAGGTTCTTAAGCATTGGTGATAGAGAGCCCAAATTATTAATATGTAGATTCATGGAAACTAGAGACGATGACATGCCCCTAAATGGTGGAATGCTGGATAGGGGATTCATTGTTGGTGACATCCAAGACCATATGAGAGAAGGAAACACATCACGTGTTAATCCTTCATATCCACATAGAGAAATATATCCAACGCTTTTGGATCTTATTATTGAAAAGGGCACCTGTTTTACAGCAGTATTGTTTGCAATCAGAGTTGTCAAGGATTCCATCTGCACTATATCTTCTTCTAACTTGTCAATCTTTGAACAACCAGAAAGTATGAGAGTTTTCACAGATTTCAACTCATAGATCCTCCTTGGGAGATTACTAAGGCTTTTACAATCCTTCAAATTTATCAGAAGAAGTTTACTTAGATCTCCAATGGATTGGTGTACCTCGGACAAGCTTGTACAATCTTTGAGAATGAGTTTTTCAAGATTCGGTAGTTTTGAAAAATCAGGGGTGTTTGTCAAGTACCTGGAATGACTAAGATTGAGGAATTTTAACCCCTCCAACAACTGCAAGAGAAATGTTTTCAAAGGAAAAATTAGACAAGCAAATGGTAGAAACTGGAAACAATTACAATTGTCATGAAAACAAATTTCATGTAATGTATACCTGGGGCTCCTTCCATACTTGGTAAAGATTACTGTGTTTTAAGTTGATAGCAACTGCTTTTCCCAAATAAAAGTTGTCAGGTATGTATTTTAAAGGAAATCTTTGCCAACAGACCCATCTAAGGAGTTTGGAAAGATACTCATAATCTCCATCAAGTTTTACACAATCAAGTTGCAGAAGTCTCAGTCTCTTCATTTTCTCAAATGCTTTGGTATGGAAGCAAACTCTACTAGTTCCTTGCAACTTAAAAGCCAATCCCTGAATAGCCTGTGTTCCCTGTGAGAAAATAATTAAAAATAAAGGGAAAACTTTGTTGATTTCTCACTAGAAAGCAAATAAGCAATACATAAATGCATTCCCACAATTTTTAGCCGAAAGATTGGAAGAAGAAAACGATTCTGAAAAAAGTTTCAAAATTACTATGCAGAGAAAGATCTTACAGTATGCTGTGTCAATACATCAAGTACATCCTCATGAACCCACAATCGACTGCGTTCCTCCGGTTCTTCAGGTGAAGTTTGACGAACAATTTCTCTTCCCATGTCACGTAGCAAATCATGCATTCCAAGCTTGTTATTCTTTTCAACTTTTATGAGGCTCCTTTCTATCAACACTGTTATTCCAATATCAGCATGAAGTCCACAACCATTTAGTATCTCTGTAACGTATGATCTGTCTTTACCAATAAAGAAACAACATATATCAAGAAATATATCCTTTTCCATCTGGTCCCCTAAACCATCAAAGCTTATTCTTAATTTCTCTTGAACTTGATCATTGGGAATTATTTCCAGTTTTGATAATACACTTTCCCATTCTTGTTTTGTCCTCTCATATAAGTAAGATCCAAGGACTTCAAGAGCTAGTGGTAGTCCTCCACAGTAAGCAACCACATTTTGTGAGAGTTCAGTGAAGTATTTTACTGGACTTGCTTGTCCAAAAGCATGCCAACTAAAGAGCTCAAGTGACTCATTTTTGTCCATTTCCTTCATTCTACAAACACAGTCAACTTTAAGTTCTGTAAGTAGGCGCATATCTCTAGTTGTAATGATTATCACACTTCCTTTACCAATCCACTTACGATGTCCACAAAGGGCTTTTAATTGCTCAAACTTGGTCACATCATCAAATACAAAGAGTGCCCTTCTTCCACAAAGTCTCTTTTCGATCATTGTTGTCCCCATCGCAATGCTGTGTATTTCAACTTTTGCTTTCAGGACATCAGAAAGAAGTTGTTGCTGTAAATCAATGTGCCCTCTGCTATCTCTTTCACAAACTTCTCTGATATTTTCAATGAAACTTTTATGCACAAATTTGCGATGAGTTTTATTGTAGATGGCTTTGGCTGTGGTGGTTTTGCCCGATCCACCCATACCCCAGATCCCTACCATACAAACTTTGCTTGATTGATTTTCAATTAACCCAATCACTTCTTGCAAACGAGATTCTAATCCAACGGGAAAATCGGTAATAGACAATAATCCGTTGTCTAATTTTGACAAAACGTCGTGAACAATTTTCTTCACTAGTTCAGCTTCACTCCTTCAATAATAATTATAAAACAGACAAAATGAGCATGAATTACGAAAGGTGATAAGACTGGAAGATCTATTATCATATAAGTCAACGGTTTGATAGATTCATACAGGTGAGTTAAGTCTCTCGCATTGTTACCAAAAAAAAAAGTCTCTCACATACAAGCTCTCTAAACCTTATTCTCTTAATTGAGCAGTGATCCAAACTCTCTAAATATTAGGAGCATTCGCGGTCTGGATTGGATCATTTTTTGAAACAAAAATCATCTGATCAAATTCATTCGGTTTGATCATATAATCATCTATTCGGTTTTGATTTTTTTCAAATCCGATCCGATCCAATTCAATTTTTTTCGATTTGGATTGGATCGGTTTTCGTTTTTTGAAAATCCTAAAATTTATTTCATGATTATTGTGCAAATAACATCTTTTGTTTATACTGGCTTTGTAAAAAAAAAAATGAAATACAAAAGCATTAGTAAACTATAATATAATTTTTTAATTTTGGCAATGAGATACGAAGCTCTACAAAGATAAAATTTTGTTAATGAGATATGATTAGATTTTTTCTTGGGTTTAGTTGATGGGTTAATGGGTCTTTTTTTAGTAATTTTTAGGCTATGATTAGGGAAATACCCAAGTAGGTAGAAGGAATTAATATATTGGATCGGTTTGGATTGGATCGGTTTTCATCAACCCATCCAAAAACCGATCCAATCCAATTAAAATTTTCGGTTTTTAATCGGTTTTCGGTTTATTCGATTATCGATTTTTCGGTTCGGTCACCGCGGTTTGAATCGGTTTGGATCGGTTGATGAACACCCCTACTAAACATGAGTAGTATTAGATGTGTTGTATTAAGTAGTGATCTGTCACCTCTTCCGCCATTTCTTCCATATATTATATGGGGATGTATGCGTGTACAAATTTATTTTATAAATTATATTATGTACTCTTAGAAGTATACAGTGTAAATCAGTGTATTACATAGTGTAACCTAATGTACTTCTGATAATATAGTTTATAAAAGTTTGTAAACAAAATTTTTATAAATATAAACCTTCTCATATTATATATCCTAAATTAACTAGGATCATACCATCTATATTCACATACATGTACAAAAGAACCAAAAAAATTGAACTGAACTGAATTTAAAAAAATATAATTTTTAAAAATCAATTCTTGAACATAATTGCTATCTAAAAACCAGCTCTTGAACATAATTATTTTTGAAAAACTAGTTCATAAACTGAACTGATTTATGAACTGAACTAGTTTTCAAAACTAATTTAAGAACAAAACTTGTTTAAAAATCCAAGAACCAAATTGGTTTTTTTTTTCTCTTATTTTTTATTTATCTTTTTTTCTCTTTATTTTTCTTCCGTATTTATTTTGTTCCTTCTTTTATCTTTATTTGTTATTGAAGACAGTGGGTGATATTATATCACTAAGAGATTTGAACCCATGTATAAAGCAGAAGAGGTAGATGATCAGAATTATCACTGTGCAATTATAAATAAAATAAGAACAGACTTACTTGTCAGATATATGAAACAGAATGATAATGATATGCAGTATCAGAGGAGTAAAAATCTGAACCCACAGAACGTGTCTCCTTAAGACAATTTGCCCCCTCACTGATGTCAAAGGTTGATGGACACTTGTCTCCCAGGATAGAACGAATTTCGTCTGAAGAATGGTGGCACTACCAATCAACAGCCCAAACGAACACAACTGAATGCCAGAGGAAACTACACCGGAGTATGAAAAGGAACATGCAAAACCGGAAGGAGAAAAATTCCGGCAGAGTTTCAGTGCAGAAAAAATTGGATCCATTTTTTGAAGGTGTCAGTGTCTATTTATAGACAACGTAAAGTCACATTTCAAAAGGCACCTATTCGACGACGAAACAACACATCTGTTGGACACGAAAAGACACATTCGTTCAACATGAAAAGACACCCATTCAAGGATGAAACAATATGTCTGTTAGGATGAAACAACATGTCCGTTAGGATCAAACAACACATCCTTTAGGATGAAAAGATACACCTGTTTGTCGACGAAAAGACACACATTTTTAATACCAATCTTCTTATTCATAACCAATAGATTGTCTACACAATTTATATATATAAATTCCAACATTATTTTTATTATTTTATTTCTTTAGTTTTTTGTTTTTCATTTTCTTTTTTTTTCTTTTTTCCTTAGGTATTTTTCTCTCTTATTATTACTTTATTTTTTTTCTTTTTAACTTTTTTTTTTCAAATTCGTGGTATTATTTATATTTTCAATTTTTATATATTTCTTTTCAGTATTTTCATACTTTTCATTTGGATCCAGAACTAATTCAAAAATTAATTTTAGGGATGTGCAAAAGAACCACAAAAAATATTATACTTAAAAAAACTAATGTTTAAAAACTATTGCTTGAGTTGAACTGGTTTAAAAAAATTAGTTTTTGAACTGAACCATTTTTTTCTTTTCATTTTTTTTCACTCTCTAGTTCTCTTTTTTTATTTATTGTCTTCTTCTTTTTTATTTCTTTATTTTTTTATTTTTTTCCTTTTTTATCTTATGTACCTTTATTTCTTATTCTTTATTTCTTATTTCTTTTTTTCGATTTTCACTATTATATATATATATATATATATTTGAAAAACATTTTCTCATGTTGCATGATAATTCAATTCTCATGTTGTGACCCTTCGATTTGCATGCAAAACTTTTCTTTTCTTTTTCATTTTTTAATAAATGTGGGGTCCACCACTAGTTGAGTCACAACATGAGAATTCAATTCTTATGCAACATGAGAAAATCAACCCCATATATATATATATATTTTTTTTTTTTCCTTTAATTTTTTTGTAATTTTTATTTGAATTCAGAATTAATTTTAAAAATCAATTCAGTTTGCAATTTTGTTTTTCCAATTCAATTCAGTTTGGCCAAGAAAACCGAACCAAACTAAACCATGACACCATGTGTAACTATAAAGTATTAATTTACCTGCAATTCTTCATGTCCCAACCAGACAAATTTGCAATTCGGGTGAGTGCCCTCCTCCATCCCCGCACCACTTTATCCAACGTTGTACCTGACAACTTTTTTTGTTTTGCAAGTTTTTCCAGTACTTCTCCAAATTCACCCGTCTGTTTACGTACAACCGATGGGTCAACACCGTAAAATATGGGCACAACCACCTGGCGACGTCTTTGGTAACGCTCCATTATTTGTTCGAGCTCCATAAGACACCAACTAGATTCCGAATATCTTTCGGAGAAAACAACCAAAGCTATCTGAGACTTTTTTATTGCTCGAAATAGTTCAGATTCCAGCTTTTTCCCCTTGGGAAGCTCGTCATCGATGTAAGTGTTGATTCCAGCATTTGAAAGTGAAGCGTAGAGATGAGAAACGATGTTGTCACGAGTGTCTTCCCCTCTGAAGTTCAGGAACACGTCGTAGACCCATCGATGATTCGAGGATGAAGAAGAAGACATTGTCTCGATCAAAAGAATTTACAAGTCACACGGTTACTAGACAAAGCAAAAGTGTAAAATACAGAGTGATGAGATGAAACTTCTATTAAAAGTAAAAACATTTTGAAAAATACTAGAAATTATATAAAAATTAAAAGATGTAATCAATTTAAATAAAGTTTAAAAAATATTTAAAATTAAAATATATACATAGTTAATTTAAAAGAATTTAAATTTATAAAAAGATAAACATAGTTAATTTAAAATAATTTAAATTTACAAAAACGAAGTGTGTTATTCTTTCATAAAAAAGAGAGTAAAGATATTAAATTACTCTCAAGTAAGGGTACAAATTAGTTGACTTATTCCAGTTTGACACAAGTGTCCTGTCAACCTCATTTATTTTACTAAACAAAAAAAATTCAAACTTGACTTTAGGTTTCATGACATAAATGAGTTGACTTGATTTTAAAAATGTCCACTAAATATTAAATTAATAAACGTAAAGATATCTCAACAGGATATACGGTATAGCAAAGAAAAATACTTTTAAACGAAATGAGGATCAATGTTTAAAAACTCGTACGGGCATCAACTTCAGCCGAATCGGTGGCCGGGACATGGTCAAGGGTAACAGGTTCAGCTGGAGAGTTATAGGGTTATTTCGTTAATCCGATTTTATATTAAAAAAATATAAATATATATCTTGTCTGAAAAATTCAAAAAAATTCAAACCATCAATCTTAAAGATTCAAAATATACTCAATATAATTCAACCAATTACATCTGCAATCAATATTATACAAGCTAATCAATATCAAACTATCAAAGTCGTATAAAACACATATTCCAATGAAGTTAATGAAAAGTTAGATCATCAAACTCAGGCTCTCCTTGTCTTTCTCACATACCTACAACAGTACGTGAAAAGAGATTCCTTACCAAAGAGAGAACGACAGAGGAGAGGCGGAGGCGCGACAAATCAACTGTGGGGAAAGAAGAACCAACACAGCGAAGAAGAGGAAAAGAGAAGAACGAATAGGATAGAAGGAACCACCACCACAGTTGTAACATCCCGAGCGCTGACGAGGGCGGGGAGTGATCGCCGGTGCAAAAGAGCATAGACAAGGAGCGGCTCCTGATAGGCTTCCAGCGGGAGGTTACATGCATGAATGAATCGAATCGACACCCGAAAGAGAGGGATTCCAAAGACTGTGCAGGTATGAGAATGCACAGTTTGGGGATAACTTATAAGAATTAATTGGTACTACCTATACTAACAAGATGCATCTACTTTTCGGTAGCCCGGAACGGAAGAACTCTATAGTTAAGCGTGCTTGACTTGGAGCAATTTTGGGATGAGTGACCTCCTAGGAGATTTTACAATGAAGTGTGCGAGTGAGGAAAAAGCGCACTGAAAAGTCTTGTGTTAGTATGTGGGGATAGTCATTGATTCTTGAAGCGGCCGGGCGTTATAAGTGGTATCCGAGCAGAGCCTCTCTTCCAGTACGGTGTGGTTCGAGGACGACCCAGGTGAAAGCTGGTGGGCATGTAACATCCCGAGCAATGATGAGGGCGGGGAGTGATCGCTAGTGCAAAAGGGCATGGGCATGGATAAGGAGCGACTCTTGACAGGCTTCCAGCGGGGGTTACATGCATGAATGAATCGAATCGACACCCGAAAAAGAGGGATTCCAATGACTGTGCAGGTATGAGACTGCACAGTTTGGGGATAACTTATAAGAATTAATTAGTACTACCTATACAAACAAGATGCATCTACTTTTCGGTAGCCCAGAACGGAAGAACTCTATAGTTAAGCGTGCTTGACTTGGAGCAATTTTGGGATGAGTGACCTCCTAGGAGATTTTACAATGAACTGTGCGAGTGAGGAAAAAGCGCACTAAAAAGTCTTGTGTTAGTAAGTGGGGATAGTCATTGATTCTTGAAGCGGCCGGGCGCTACAAGTGGTATCCGAGCAGGGCCTTTCTTCCAGTACGGTGTGGTTCGAGGACGAACCAGGCGAAAGCTGGTGGGCATGTAACATCCCGAGCGCTGATGAGGGCGGGGAGTGATCGCTGGTGCAAAAGTGCATGGACAAGGAGCGACTCTTGACAGGCTTCCAGCGGGGGGTACATGCATGAATAAATCGAATCGACACCCGAAAGAGAGGGATTTCAATGACTGTGCAGGTATGAGACTGCACAGTTTGGGGATAACTTATAAGAATTAATTAGTACTACCTATACAAACAAGATGCATCTACTTTTCGGTAGCCCAGAACGAAAGAACTCCATAGTTAAGCGTGCTTGACTTGGAGCTATTCTGGGATGAGTGACCTCTGCGTTACAACGGCGGAGGATAGCACCAAATTAGGGAAACTGAGTCTAGGTTTGGGAGAGAAGATCAGAAAAGAAGAAAAACGATTCAGATTCCAGATCTAGTTTTAGATCTAGATAACAACGAGTTTTTGTTTTTACAAATCAAACAACGTCTTTTCGTCTGTAAATACATTTGGAAAAAATATGCAGTGAACCCCTATAACCCAAGAGTCATGGGTTCAATCGAGGGGTTCCGGGAGTTAGAGGGGTCAATGTGCATGTAGGGTCTAATTGCTGACCCCAACCCTTAGAGAGAAGGGGTCAGTAACCCGGCAGGGTCAACCTCGAAACGAGGCGGGGTTTTGAAATACTACTAAGAACATGAACTCATGGATGGTGTAACGCATGCCCACATTTGGGTAATTACCAAATTTTACCCAATGGACTAAGATATTTTTCTAGTCATGTTTCTAATTTTACTTTTACCTTTTGGGTAATTTTGTCTATTCATATTTTTATCCCTTAACATTTATTTTAACTCCCTTTTCACCAAAGGAGACTTTATTTCTTTTTCTTCTACTTTTATTATAATTATTCTTCAATATTGTGATTAAAATCATTAATTCATAAAAAAATCCACAACTACATGTGAGAGTTATTATGCTCATCCCATCTTTCAAGTAGGATCATACAAGTAGGATGATAGCTTCCTTTCATCTTAGGATCATACCTGGAAACAAACTCAGGATATGGCCAGAGAATCTCATCCTCACTCTTTCAAGTAGCCTCCTCAGGCGTTCTGCCTTCCCATTGAATCTTTCTTATAGGGATTGTCTTATTTCTTAGCTTCCTTTCATCTTTGTCCAAAATTTTCCACGGCCCCACAGGAGTCTTAAGATTATCCTGTATCTGAACCTCGTCAGGCTGTACAACATGAGATTCATCCCGAATGTATCTCCGAAGCTGAGACACGTGGAATACATCATGAATGCCGGATAATTGTGGAGGCAAGGCAAGCTGATAAGCAACCGGTCCCACCCTTTCTATTACCTGATAGAGATCGATAAACCTGGGACTTAGCTTTCTTACTCCATGAGCACGCCCCACACCTGTCACAGGTGACAACCTCACAAAGGCATGCTCACCCTCTGCAAACTCCAGAGGTCGATGCTTGTGACCATAATAGCTCTTCTGGCGACTCTGTGCCTGTTTCATCAACAGTAAAGCTTGCAACTCATCCTCAAGTGTCAACTTCATTGTGCTCAGTTGATTCATTATACTTTGATACTCATTCAAATGTTCACTGATAGTTATATGACCCTTGTACTTCAAGTTTACAAGCTTTCTCATCAAGAATGCTTTGTTCCCAACCGTTTTCCTCTAATATAGAGTTGCCAACTTTTTTCAAAGTTCTTTCTCTGATGTCTTATCCGCAACATGATGAAAAACATCGATATCCAACCACTGTCTAATTGTGTCAATTGTTTTTCTGTTCAATTTATTCCATTCTGCATCTGACATCCCCGATGGTCTCTTAGTATTACCCTCAATGGGTTCATACAAGTCTTTGCAGAATAAATAATCCTCCATCATAGGCTTCCAAATCAACCAATTTGATTCATTGAGTTTAAGCATGGAGCTTGAGCTACCTTCCATTTCAATTTACACTTCAAACAACCACAATATAAACCAAAGCTCTTGATACAACTTTGTTGGGGGCCAAACACAATAACCAAATGTAAACTGATGTAAACTAGTAACTTAGAAAAACAACAGCAACATCAAAAACCAATATCATCATTAAAAATAAATAATTGGCACACAAAGGGAAAAACCAAATCTATGCTCTAGAGAGTTCCAAACCACAAAATGACTGGTAAATATGAGCTACTACACACCACGAACACTCCTAAAATTTGAGCTCATTCCGATGAAGTCTTACTGAGTAAGATCATATTCCCTTTCTTTTTCTCCTCTCCACCGTTTCTTCTCTCGGTCACTGTTTCTTCTCTCTCTCTTTTTTTGTTATTGTTCTCTCTCTCGCGCTCTCTTTCTTTCTTTTGTTTCTTTTCTTTTCAAAATTCAAAAGGCCAATGGGCCCACCACTAAGGGTCACGGACCCAACATTTAGGGTGTGTTTAGTTTGAGGATTATGATGAGATAGATAGGCAAATTAGAAGTGGGTTTGTTAGCTGTCCATGTTTGGTTCAAGGGCTTCCATATTTGCCTATGCTAATCATATAGCCAGCAACTCAATTTTGCATGTCTTTTGGATGGAAATAGCAGACCAAATTTTCCTACTTGAGATGTGGTATTGTGCTTTATCTATCTAAATGATCACATTGTCTAATAACCATATTACGAGCGTACCCTCTGCCACACGCACAAGAAATTGATGATAGCTGTAATCTATATTGTACAGATCCCTGTGCCACCAATCCTTGGCTGAAACTCTGTTAATAAAATCAAAAGGGGAAATAAATTACTTAATTGTCAATCCAATATTGCTCTTGTAATACACAGCAGCAAATTTTTTTTATGCTCTCTATACAGTTTTCGAAGCCATCTGGTTTGGATGCATAAGCAGCAGCATATAAAGTCCTGGATGATATGCAGCAGCATCTTGGCCCATGCCCCTTGCTTCTTGACCAGCAGCTTTAAATGCCCAATGAGGCACTCGGATCATATCAACCAGAATCTAACAAAATGAAAATAGCAACTCTTATCATCTAATATTTGTCAAGTATAGAAAATCAAACAGAAATGAATATACATTTAGATTGCTAACAACGTGATTACCCCAACATACTTCAATCAACCCCATACATGCAAATCTTTGAAATGAAGAGGCAGCATTAGATTAATCATATTGCCTCCAGAAAGAACCCAGCAGTACGAGCTCGATAACATTACTTTCTTTGTAACTTTCTGAGAATCCCACTGTAACACCCCGTGTATACCCGGTTTGTTAACATTACATCGTATTAAATTTTTCATAATTAAAAATGCGAAATATCTTTTTCTTTTCAATTATGACGTCATTATACTTAGCCAAGTTGATTACTTAATCATTTTCATAAAATATCGCCTGTAGGTAAATTGCAACTAGACATCTAACTAAAATACCTCAAAATGTAATATAAGTGAGTATCTAAGTCACGGATCTACAACACGTAGACCGGACAAACTAACAGTTTATACAACTCCAACTAAAAGCACTAACATCAAGTGGCATGGACAAACCCCATGCTTACACAATTAAGGCATCAAGCCCAACATAGTCTCAGCAACAGCATCATAATAAAATAAAGCTAAAAGCATAGCATCAGCAGATATATTCAGCATCCAACCATGTCAGCAAATAAACAGTAATATCATCAACTAAGCTCCGGCCTCCTGCCGCCAGAGGCATCAACCCCCAAGTTACCTGATCCTGAAATAAGCGCCCCAAACGTGGGGTGAGATCTCTAAACAAGAAATCTCAGTAAGACAAGGGTTCCTCAAGGATCTTCCACCCCAAGCTCACTTACATGTGCAATATAAGTTCAAAAGCATTAATTTCCAATATAAGTTCGAAAACTATGCAGTGCAACAGATATTCATGCCATGTGTGTTTAAACTATTCTACTGGCCAGAGAAATGCAGGAATACGTCTATTACCTACAGATAGTACAAGGAACACCGCTTGCACCTCACCCACAGCCTCACCATATTGTATGTACTACATACTCAGGCTTACCGTATAGGTGGAACACCACATGCATATCATAAAGGCACTAGCATATAACAGTTCAATAGCATTTCCAAAACATCAAAAACATGTAACACAACATGCATATAACCATACCCCCATGGCACATGGTGGAACCACAACATGGTTAAACCGAGGACATGAAAGCTTACCTCTTAAGCTAACTATCCAATCCAAGAGTCCACGCTAGCTCAAGGTCAACAAATAGCACAATCACAGTATGTTTATACCAGAATTATCATCAATACACATGCTCTATAATTTCATGGCAAAAGGAATACGTTTTCTATCTCATTTTCGCTTATTGCAGGCTTTTCTCAAAGCCTTAAGCATTAAATTACGTTTACTCTTTTTAAAACTTTAATTGCATCTCTTTACCAAAAAATCTAAGATTTTAATATGTTAAACCAGACATCTCTAGATTTACAACGACATATTATACGCCTCAATCGGAGTTGTATAACTCCGGTTATGTTTTACGCAAAGTGACTGCTGCAAACGGAATTTCCAGCAACCAAAATGCGACTTAAAATTGACACTTCGATCAAATCACTGATCCAATGGCTACGAAATTTTACATAGTTGTAGCCCTATTGGTTAGCTTCACATAGGTTCAAACGGAACTCAATTTTGAGCTCTGTAGCTCAAGATATCAAATTTTTACTAAAACAGGTTCGTTGTTGTCCCGACCAAAATATCCGGATATTTCCAACTGAATATCCGAATATCAATATCCGGATATTTCCAACCAAATATCCGGATATTTCGCGTCAGAATGCAGATTTTGCATTTTCGCGAGATATCTTTCCAAGGGATCCATTTTTACCAATTACAGAAGCTTAAACATGCATCTTTAGGTCCATTTAGTTTCATATGACAGTTGGTTACTTGTCTAATCCATTAAACATGCCAATACATCAAATTTAGCCCATTAAACTCATGATTAAGGTAGCAAACTTACCCAAGGCTTCAAAACAGAAGCAACAAAGGCTCTTGGAGCTCACTATGAAGCTCCCATGGTGTAGGTTACAGGGAACACGAAAATGTGAAGCAAGGTTGACCCTTTCACCACAAAGTTCAAGATTTGAAGCTCAAAACACCCTTGCTAGGTAGCCCTCAACCCAAACACCCAACTCAGCCCCTAGACTCCACCAAAACAGAGGTCACAACTCAGAAAATGCTACCTCTCCCCCTCACAAAGATGCTTACTAGTGTTTACCAAGGGAAAGGAGAGAAGAATCAAGCAAAAGATATCACTTTGGCTCAAAGAAGGATGAAGGAGAGGTGGTGGCTGATGGAGGCAGCAGCTCCAGCAAAATGGTTCACGTAGGATGGCACAAATGACCTAGGATCATGTGCCATTTAGCTATTTATAGTCACTTACGTTTTAATCGCGCTGTATTAGCGCTAATCGCTACGCTTAGCATTTTAATCCCAAACTTTGGAATATGAACCTACTCATTTTTCTAAGATTTATCATATTTTTATTTTATTTTTCAGAGCACCTTTCCGGTACGCGCTTTTCCATAGCCAGTATCAGTTCTTATTATTTTAACTTGAAACTTGTTTTACAAGTCCTATATATTATTCTAGGAATTATCATGCACTTTTTATAATTTTCCGGGATACTTCATCGGTATGCATTTATACCGAGTAGCAGAACCGGTATCTGCACTTTTCGTCAGAAAAGCGACTTTCAGCATTATTACTCACCTATTATAATTATTAAAGCCTCATAATAATTATTAAGGTCAATTATGGAATTATTTCCTAATTTTACATAATTAATTAATTAATTAATTTCCTTAATTAACGGTGCAGGTTCTTACACCCACAAAAGTGGGAGATGATATTCATTCTATTCAAGATACCAGTGGATGCAACTTTTTTTTGGTAGGAGAAAAGAGGAAAAAAACGTATGCAATTTTTTAACCACATTCAAGGGACTGTGTTTCAGTAACAGTGTGCATCAGAACATTTTTTAAAAATAAGGTTATTTTCGTAATAGCACCTTTTTTTTCCATCTATATTTTACATACACCCAAACATAGACTTTAAAAATGTTACCTAATTTTCCCGTTCAAATTTTTTTCAATCAAACAACTTTTTTTACATATTCCTACCAAACATAATCCTCCAACCATTTCCCTATCAATAACATTTCTCTATTATTCATAAAGTTTCTCCTCAACCAAACGCCCCCTTAGGCTCTCCATTAAGTAAGCAAACAATATGGACACTTCTACACAATTCCTAAATTCACAATATATCAATTGTGCCTAATGTCATGATCCAAATTCAGAAATTCCATTTGACATACTTAAATTTGTCCACCATGCATTTCTGCCAAAAATGGCTAATGGCTACAACCAACATTGCATGTTGCATTTACTTATACCACTAAATTCGCAGACATACTAGTCTCATCTATGCAGGAAAGAAAATGCTCCAACTTAATAAATTGATGATACTTAGATGAGTGGTTTTTGTTTGTTGTGTGTGTGAGTACAAAGGGCACAAAACT